ATATATATATTCCCACCCTGATTTGGGTGGGAAGGGAGGCTTAGAAAGAGGGGGTGGAAATACCCAAGATCAGGTAAATGAAAAGAAAGGAGTAGCCACAAAAGCCCTAAATGACAGCATTTGGAAAGACAGTGTTCTTTGTCAACTTACAAAAGCCAAATGCCTCCTTTCAAGACAATGACAACAGCCATAGAAAGAAAACCCAAGCATGCAGCTGGTGTGGTAACGTACACACCTGTAATCCTAGTACTCTGGAAGGCAGAGGCAGGTGGATCTCTGTGAGTTCAAGGCCAGCCTGGTCTACAAGGAATCCAAGACAGCCAGGGCTACACAGAGAAATCCTGTCTCAAATAAATAAATAAACAAACAAAACTCAAGCATGTAGACTCTTAGACCACAGAAAAAAAGAGCCTGTCTGTAAACTGGATTACGACAAAGACTGAAAGAAATTCAGTTGATGGCCCCCCAAAATTGCAGAACATTGAATATGAAAGGTTAAAGTCTAAAGAAAAGAGAGGAAGAGTCAAGAAGGCTGGAGAAGAGCAGGACACAGACCAAAGGGAGAAAGAAGCCAAAAGACAAGGGAGTCTGCTAAGTTTTTTGAAGGAATGCATGGAGCAAGAATGAATCACTGGAATGGTAGGACTGCCTGGGCTCAGTGGGAGATTAAGTGATCCTGAGGGTCTAACAGCCATGCAGCATCTTGACAGGTGGCCTTCAAGGATGTGGTCCACATATGTCACATATCAGAGTAGCCCCGAAGCTGTGAATCTCAGGTGACAGACATTTGACAAAGCCCTCATGGAAGGAAAAACAACTCAAACATCTAATGGATGGGACAGAACACAATGCAGCAAGCTTATGACATCCCAATTTCTGAGGCACTCTGAAGGTAGCCCCTGCCCCCGTACCAGCTGCAGCATCTTACAGGGTTTGCCATACTCATCCAGATAATGTGTTCTTATTAGGAATTCCAAACTTGAAGCACATCTTAAACCAGAAATCTTTTTAACTAATTAAAAGGGCGCGCTAATTTCTATACCCTTTGAACCACTGGTCAAGAGAAGGAGGTATAAAACTCCACTGTATGTAAAATGAAGACTTTGATAAAGGAAAAAACAAAACTACACAAACCAACAGACATCAGAATAGTGGGAAGCAAGTCAAGGTCAAATTCAAGATCCACGGGGCCTTGCACATGCTAGCAAGTGCTGTACCACTGAGCCATACTGCCATCATATCATAGCGGGAAGCTTTTCTTTTCTTTCTTTTCTTTTCTTTTTTTTTACCTTGAATGTAAAATTCGCATCAAAGATTAGCTCTTTTTCATGCCCTGCGATTCCTCCATTGTAAACAACTTGGCATCTTTTGGCTGGTTCTGTCTTAGGGAGTTTGAAGAGGCGAAATGTGGCAGACACAAAGCGACAGTCACCTGAAAGCAGACAAACACAGCTCACTTCTGGCACCCAGCAGCAGTCAACAGCCAAGTACGGAGCACACTGGGAAGGTGACCTTCTTCACTGCCTGCCATCAACCTTCTTTCTGGACACTTCCACCGATTGGTTTCAAAATACTTTACTAAATATCACTCTGGGGGAGGGGCTGAACGTGGACACTCAGAAACAAGATGGACACTTACAGAAGATGCAGTTTCCCTCGGTGGGACTCACTCATAAACTAACAACTGACCAGAAACCGTTCACACTGCAGTCACCGATTCCCTGCCGCTGTTTCCTACCTATGACACTTTCTAGTTCCGTGTTTTGAACTGTAATGATATTGGCAGTGACCAAACGAGGAGAGCAGAATCCAATTTTTTGGGCGATGATGGCAAGATCTTTCCAGTACAAAGCACCACCCAGGCATTCACCTTAAAAGAAAAAAAAAAAAAACACAGAGCAATCAATATAAAAAGCAGTACTGAGGACATACATAGCCTGTACAATTAACGGGAACACAGTATCAAGCTGTAGGGCCTAACTGGCCAAGGTGGCGCACATCTATAATCTCAGCGTGCGAAGACTGTCAAGATGATGAAGAGTTCAAGGTCAGCCTGGGTAAGTATAGGACCCTTCCTCAAGAAAACAAAACCACAAGATCTGGGGGTGTAGCTTAGCTGGTGGAGTGCTTACTGAGCATGCTCAAAGTGCCAGATCTGATCCCTAGGACCGCATTAAACCAAACAGGATGGCATACACCTGTAACCCCAGCATTGGGAGATACAGTGAGGAGTTCAGGGCCAGCCTGGGCTACATGATACCTTGTCTCAAAATAAACAAATAATAGTAATAGTGATGATAATAAATTAAAAAAAAAAAAACGTAGGGCCTAGAAATAATAAATTTACCTGCAAGTATCCACAAGGCCTAGAGAGCAATGGTTAAACCCAGAACCTGTAAACCAGGCAATGATGGCGCATGCCTTTAATCCCAGCACTGGGGAGGCAGAGGCAGGAGGCCAGCCTGGTCTACAGGGCCTGTTCCAGGACAGCCAGGGCTACACAGATAAAACTTGTCTTGACCCAAAACTAACTCCCAACCCCCCCCCACCCCCAAAAAAAAAGAAAAAAAAAACAGAATTTGTTAGCTAACAGTCTCTGAGACCCATTTTCTGGGCAGGCATGACGTGCTGGTTCTACTGAGACACAATCATAGTACTTGTGTATGTTAGATCATATTCTGAAAGGCACTGCGAATGGGAATAAAATGGCATAAAAGCTGCCTCTTCCTTCCATAATGATCTGTTATTACAACAATACTGCTAACATTCACAAGGCATGCTTGCAGGTTTTTTTCAAGGGCAAACATGTTCACACAAGTTTTATGTTTCAGCAATGAGTGGGGAACAAGCTAAATGGTCACCAGTGTCCAAACGCTTCAGGCTGAAAGCACAGTTGTATGAAACTGTGTCCTGTGCATGTCTACACCAGAGCTGGAGGGATGGTTCTGAGGCTGAGAGCACTGGCTGCTCTTCTAGAGGATCCAGGTTGGATTCCCAGCACCCACATGGCACTTCACAATTGTCTGTCACTCTAGTCCTAGGGCACTGGACACCTTCATGTGGCCTCCACAGGCGCCAGGCATACACAAGGTACACAGCCCTACACGTGGGCAAAATACCCATATATATAAAATAACATGTTAAAAAGGGTTTCAACTTAGGAAATACATTTTTTTGTACTTTTAAAAAACGTTTTGTTTAAGTTGTTTTATTTATGTATTTTCTTGCTTTTTGGAGACAGGCTCTCACTACAAGCCCTGGCTAGCCTGGAACTGTCTTTGTCAGCAGTCAAGCCTTCCTGATGCTGTGACGCTTTAATACAGTTCCTCAGGTTATGGTGACCACCCAACCACAAAATTATTTTTGTTGCTACTTCATAACTGTAATTTTGTTACTGTTATGAATCATAGTGTAAATATCTGTGTTCCCTGGTGGTCTTAGGCAATTCATTTGACCCCCAAAGAAGCTGTGACCTGCAGGTTGAGAACCACTGTTGTATGCAGAGCTGGCCTTGAACTCAGAGATCTGCCTGCCTCTGCCTCCGAGGGCTAGAATTAAATGCGTGCACCTCAATACCTGGCTTAGTTACTTAGTTACCTATGTGCTTACACGCTTTTTGGTTTTCTGTGTGTAAACAGCAGATCATGGTGCACACGTGGAGGCTAGATGACAGCTTTCAGGGGGTGGTTTTCTCATTCCACCATGAGGATTCTGGGGATCAAACTCAGTTTTTCTTTGTGTTTTTGTTTTGTTTTGTTTTTCTTGAGACAGGGTTTCTCTGTGTAGCCTTGGCTGTCCTGGAATCACTTTGCAGACCAGGCTGGCCTTGAACTCACAGAGATCGGCCTGTCTCTGCCTCCCGAGTGCTGGAATCAAAGGCGTGCACCACAACTTTGTATTTTCCTGCTTTTAACGTTACTGGTTTATATTATTGTATAATAAGAAAAACTTAACACAATTTATTTGAAAAACAAGATTTGCTTTTTTTGAGCCTGTCTCATTGTGTAGCCCATGCCAGCCTTGAATACACCTTGATCCTCATGCTTCCATCCCCAGAGAGCTGAGAGCACAGGCAAACCACTCCCAGCTTAAATGCTCATGAGCATTTGTTTATCTCAATTTCTAGAGAGCCTTAAACGACAACAAAGGAATAAATACTCAATCTCATTTATTCTTCAAAATAGTTTTAAAAGTAGTCTGTTATTATTTTCATTTTACAGTTTAAAAAACAATAACAGATTAATGAAATTGCCTAAGATCACATCACTTTTTTAAGAGTTTATTTATAGTGTGTGTGTGCACACGTGCAGGGTGCAGGTCAGAGACTAGCTCTATGAAATTTGTTCTTTCTTTCCAACTTGACATGAGTTCCAGGAATCAAATTCAGATTGCCAGCCAGGAACCACAGATGCCTTTACCCACTGTGCCATCTCCTAGCCCTCAAATTGCTTTTGAGTGGCAGGAAAAAAGAGGGGAGAGAACCTCCTGGCCTTGGGCCATTTGCTCTCCCATCCAGGGGTCTCATGGGAACTTATACTACACTAGTCAATAATCGTTGATGTGAATAAAACAAGAGCACACGTACCCCATAAAATTTTGTGTGACTTGATGTCTTCTGGCACCTCAAGGCTAGCATAGACGTCACTGAAATAGAGTTCCCCACCATGCTGAAAGAGAACAGTGTGCATCTGAGCAAGGTTAAAGATTACATTGGCCCTAGATAACAGGCAAAAAAAAAAAAATTGATGAGTACAAAAGATCAGTTTCAAAAATCCCAGTATTTTGAGCTGATACTGACCAAGCTGACCTTCCAACAAATAACAGCTGCCTCCCTTGTTAAAATCAGCACACAGGGACAAGGTATTTTATTCTCTGGTGCCCTATCCAACATAAAATTGCTTTCTAAGACTCAAGAAGAAGATCAAGGGAAAGTGGAGAAGCCTGAGAGGACAAGGAGAGGATGAATGTCCTCTGAGAGCACTGCTGCACTTGTGGAAATGTTCCAATGAGGGGCTGGACGGATGGATGGTCAGGTACAGTGCTGGCTTTTGGGAGTATCTACTGAGTCCCAGTCTCCAGCATCCACAAAAGCGGGCAAGGTTTGCGTCTATAACCCCAGCCCAGATGGGTAAATCCCATCTGATCAGCTGGGAGTCCTACCCAATTTGGTGATTTCTAGATTCAGTGAGAGCTCAGGTCTCAAAAACTAAAGGTGAAAGCTACTGAGGGTGACACCTGACAACTGATATCATGTTCTTTCTGGTCTCACACGCATATGCGTGCACACACTATACACAGGCATTAATGAAACTCAGAAGCCATCTCTCCAGCCCAGTTTAAGAGCACTTGCTGTTCTTGTAGACACAACAAGAATGTAGAGCAGGGGTTCTCAATCTTCCTAATGCTGCGACCCTTTAATAAATTCCTCATGTTGTGGGGACCCCAACCACAAAATTATTTTAACTTTTTAAAAAATTTTATTTATTTTTATTTTATGTGCATTGGCATTTTATATGCATGTATGTCTGTGTGAGGGTGTTGGATCTTGGAGTTATAGACAGTTGTAAGCTGCCATGTGGGTGCTGGGAATTGAACCCGGGTCCTCCGGAAGATTAGCAAGCACTCTTAACTGCTGAGCAATCTCCCCGGCACCCATAAAATTATTTTGTTGCTACTTCCTAACTGTAAGTTTGCTACTGTTATGAATCATAACGTAAATATCCGATAAGCAGGATATGTGATGTGATCTCAATTTGTCATGACCCACAGATTGAGAACCACTGATGCAGCAGCACCAAGTTCAGTCTCCAATGTCCACATCGTGGCTCACGATCATCTGCAGGTTCAGTTCTGACCTCTGGGGGCACCAGGCACACACGTGGTGCACATGTATGTGGACAGGCAAAACACTCATGTAAAATAAGTCAATCTTTTAAAAAAAGTTTTTAAATAAGCAAGAACACAGGCGAGAAAAACATGAGTATCTCTAAAATACGTTCAGATTGCCTAAATTTTTAGTGAGTCCAAACAGAATACAGCCCGAGGTGTCTATGAAACTGAGAGATGACATCTATGGAATTAAGTCTTAGCCCTTGAGAAATTATGGTAATAAAGGCAGGCAGTAGTGGGGCATGCTTTTAATCCCAGCACTTGGGAGGCAGAGGCAAGTGAGTTCAAGGCCAGCCTGCTCTACAAAGTGAGTTCCAGGACAGACAGGGCTACACAGAGAAACCCTGTCCTGTTTCTCTGTTCTAGAAAAGGCAAATTCATAGAAACCTATCAGAGTAAGTTGGTGACTTTGTAGGTATTATCTGAGAATCACGGTCAATAGCGACCAGGAACAGGACAGAAGGAAACCATGTGGACGGTCCAATGGCCTGCATCCTGACAGGAAAATAAACCCTACCTAGGGCACTACTCTCACCTGACCGGACCTCACCTTTTGCATCCTTTTTTGTTTTTTGAAAAAGCATCTCAAATGGTTGAGGTCGGTTTTGAACTCTCTACAGGGCAAAGGTCTTGAACTCCTGATCTTCCAGCATGACCAGCTTAGCTCTCTCTTAATTTAATGGATAAATCAAAAATTTGAAGTCTTAGTTCCAAAAGACAGCATAATCTCATCAGCCCTCTCTGCTGTTTAAAGATTATCTCCCTCCTCCCCTTACCTTCAGCACTCTATACACCTCCCGAAGAACTTGCTGTTTATCAGGAACAAGGTTGATAACACAATTGGATCTTTATAAAAGTGAGAAAGAAAAAGCAGATGTTGAAGGATTTAAGTCCTTTAAATCCAAAAGGTACCTACAGTTTACCAACCAGGCTACCTGATTTTTCCTGACTCTCCTCTCTTCCTCATACTCATCTCTTCCCCCAAGACAAGGGCGATAGGAAAACTGTTTAAGCAGCCAGTGTATACAAATGTGCAAGACTGAATATGAAGCGTGACCCTTGCTTTTGTCCTCATGTTCACCAGGCAACAAAACAAAACCTGCACTCAGATGCCTATCAAGCAAGGCGTTCAAGGCCCAGGTGAACAAAGCTCCTCAAAAGTGCTTTCCCAGCATTTTCATTTGAGGCTTTGTGTGTGGCTGACTCAATGGAAAAAATGTTTCTTGAGGGGTCAATTCCCAGCAACAAAAGAAAAGAACACAGCCTAGTCCCGTCACCTTGGCATGATTTAACAATGACTCTGGGAAAATGAGAAAGGCAAGATACCATAATTTGCCATTAAAAAAAAAAAAAAAAAGGAAAAGAAGAAAAAGAAAGATGCAGTCATTGCCAAATGTGGTGGTGCATGCCTTTAGGAAGAAAGCAAAGGTAAGCAGACCTCTGTTCATTCAAGGCCAGCCTACATGGCAAGTTCCAGGCCAGCCCTAACTACATAGTAGGAGCCTATCTCAAAACAAACAAAAGGAAAGGAAAAAATGCCACGTATGATGGTAGTCTTAGATGATTACAGTAAAGCCTGTTTTTGCCCAGTAGCGCAATAGCCAAAGCAACTAGGTAGTGAAACAGCAAAGTGTGTGTGGTGATGCTAAGAGGATGGCTGCTGGGTGCAGAAAGGCACAGCATCTCGGTGCTGCACAGTGCGCCACACCCAGCGATAATCAACAACGATGCTACCCGCCTCTACTAAGCTTTCGGCATTATTCTACGGTGGACTCATTCTGCTTGCAAGAAAAAGCACTGTAAACCGCTCTGCTAGAGCAGGTGGTGGTGGCACACGCCTTTAAATCCAGCACTTGGGAGACAGAGGCAGGAGGATCTGTGTGAGTTCCAGGCCAGCCTGGTCTACATCCTGAGTTCCAGGACGGCCAGGACTACACAAAAAAACTCTGTCTCAAAAAACCAAAACAAACCCAAACAAAAAAACCCTAAATAGTCTGCTAGGTTCTCTCAATAGCAGCCTCACACATCTTGAATGACTACCATAGCTCTGGATATCATCAGCTCTCGGGTCTGAATTGATCGGGTGCTCTGTTCATCCGGCCCTGGTAGCAATTGGCTGGCTATTTTGTGTTTACCACATAGCCTTGGTATGCAGTAGGTTCTAGCACTGAAGTCTGGGGAAGCACCCACCGATGTCCACATAAGAAGGAAATCCTCCAATACCAATTTCTTACAGTAGGTCCCTGTCATTTGAAGACCCACAGCCACAGATAAGAGGAGCACATGCTGCCGTCTGGCTGGTTTGGGGAATACCCTGGCTTTCATCCGGTGGGCAGATGTGTTGTCACTGCGACACAACATTGCCTTTTACTAAACTCACCCAAAGATGTGCAGCTGAGGGACAGAATAGAAAAACTCACAATCTTTGAAGTTTATGTTTTTGTGTTACAAGACTAGACACACCTAGCAATGCTGTTAATGGACTACAGAGAGCACTCCCTTCCTTTATGAAGACCTGCTAGATTTGGTTTAGTCTCCTAAACAAGAGTCAGTTAGTAAAAAAGTGGCAGCATTTGGGTACTCGAAAAGAAACGGGCTTTACACATAACGGAAAGGCTGCCCTACATGACGATATCATAGCTCTCATTCTGGATCCCAGCATCTGCCAGCTTCTCAATGCAGCCATGAAGAAAAGTCACATTGGGTGCCTGGAAACCGAATTTTTCCATGTGGTACTCAAGATAGGCTTTAGCCACTTCTACCTAGAGAAAGAAAAATACAGATTTGATAATCAACATCTTTCAAAAATAAAGCATTTTTTTTCTAAAACCTGTTCTATTCTTAATGCCATAGGCTTCCCTACCCTGGGTTATTTTAGATACATATGCAAGATTCCTGAGACACTAAGGATTCCAACAGCCTAGGACAGAAGCTCCCTGCCCTGAAAGTCTTCTCCTGTGGCAAATCTGTCAGGACAGAAGAATGAAGAAGAGGAAGTGCCAGAGGATATCACAAGCTCCTCTATCAGGTTAGACCTCTGACTGAATTCTCCAGGACAGTTACTGATTGACAATGTCCTCAACTTCTATGTTATTGGAGGCAGAAATGAAGGCTACAAAAACCCAGCCTGCTTAAATTACCTTGAGGAAAACCAGGAAGCAGTTTCAGGCCCCAAAGAATGACTTGGAGAAACCTCTCCTTTCCCCTAAATCCTTGCCTTACCTGGACCTTAGTCATGTCTATTCCGGTGACGTGTCCCTTTTCACCAACCAGTTGGCTAAGCACATAGCAATCCCTGCCGCTTCCACTACCCAGATCCAAGATGCAGCAGTTCTCCAGATGCTCAGGAACAACCAGACCACAGCCATAATACCTGAGACGCAGAAACGGTGTACTTTCACAACAGGCTAGGCAGGTCAGTGGTGGCGCTCACCTGTAATCCCAGCACTTGCGGAGGCAGAGGCAGGAGGAGCTCTGTGAGTTTGAAGCCAGCCTGCTCTACAAAACCAAGTTCAGGACAGCCTGTCTCAAAAACCCTGCTTCAAAAAACCAATAAATAAATAATTAAAAACAGAGGCTAGAAAATTCTCAAATATTAAATCTATACTTCCCTCCCTCTGTTTTTCCCTCATCCATCTATACTTCTGTCTTGTCTCCCCCACTAAATGGGGGCTATGCCTGCCATAGCACAGTGTCATAGGCACTGTGCAAGGTAGCAAGACTTAAGTAAACCATCTAAGATATTGGTTGGATAGATACATCTAAGGCACTGGCTGAAAAATTCCAACTCAGGTCTGTAACAACTGAGGAAAAGAGTTCTGCCCCCCAGGTGCATGGACTGTAACTTGAGAGGTAAAAAACTACAGTATGGAGGAAAAAAAAAAATGCTAACCATGACTACAGAGAATGCCAGCAGGGAGAAGTGCAGGAGGGGTCTGCTTCGTGACTGAAGGAGGACTTCAGTGGGGTGATGGAGGGCAAGGGGAGAGGTACCCTCTTTGATAACTGCTCTCTGGGTGGGCAATACTGTGTCAGGGAAAGGCAAGGCTAGCAGGAGCTGTGGCTGGTTAGAAAGTGTGAGCCAGTCTATTAACAAACTTTAATGTCTGTCAGGCCCCAGGGAGCTTGAATGAATCCTGCAATAACAAGGGACACCCAGATAAGGGGTCTTCAGCTGTGGGTCTTCCCACATCGGAAAGTGGGCAGCTCAGTGCCGAACTTTGGGGGTGTTACGGTAGATATGGCAAGCAGGATGGCCAGCAGAGATGGCTAAGTTCCCTAGTGACCAGTATGAGAAAACTACTGTCTGAGGCTTCAAGGGGAAAGAACACACCCTCTACCTTGAAGTAACATCTTCATGTATGTTCTGCAGAGTTTCCCGGATGTGCCTGGGGATCAGCTTGGCTGGAGTGACACAAGTATTAGTCTGAAGGTCTGCAGATGTCTTCAGTACATTCCCGTAGTAGTTCTGACACAGAAGCCAAAAATGAGAAGCCAGGAGAAAAAGGACTGGACCTGCTTCCTGCAGAGAAGGCTCCACTACGCTAATTACAGCCCAGTGGCCTTTGCTCAAGGCAAAACTCTAACCCCGTGGCCCGGTCTGGCCTGGCCTGGCCTCCCCAGCTTGCCCAAGCCTCTTGCTGGCAGCTCTTCTCTAGGCCCAGCGATCCCACGCAGCCATTCCCTGGGACCCTCACCTGAACGTCCTTGTGGATCTCAGCTTCTCGGGGAGCAGCCACTGGCAAAGGAAGAAGAGAAACTAAACGGGGTGCCTACACTGAGAGTGGGGCCCGAGGCCAAGATGGAGGGATAGCTGCACACGGGGGCGGAGTGGAAGGGAACCGAGGAGGCAGGGAGGCACCAGAAACGAGCTGGGCCGCCCAGAGGTTGGGACAGGATGGGGGCCGCTGAGGGCCTGTGGGAAGGCGGAGGTCAGAGGGGACTGGCCAGGAGGCCGAGGGGGAAGACACTCACTGACTCACGCTCCTGAACCCGGAATTCCCCTCAAGCCCTCTTCGGAGCAAGCTCGCCGAAGCCACGCCCCCTGGCCGACGGGCAACTTCAGAGCTTTGCAAGACCCTGGCTAGCTGGCTAGCTCTACACACCTCTGGGTCCTATCACTTTGGTGGCCTTGAGTCCTTGCATCCCAAAGAATAGTTTTATTAGTTGACATCTTCCTTTACTGATCCACTGAGTTTCATTTGTAAACTCTGTGTGTGTCTTAAATGAGCAGCCATATATTTTTTTTTCTTGTGGAAGGAAATCACCTTTCCTTATTCAGTCTCACAAAGTCGTTCACTGAGGTATCATTTACATCGATGATATTCACCTTTCTTTAGTGCAACAACAGGCACTTCACAACCAAAACGCACGAAGCCACAACCTTTTAACTCCAGCACCCCAGGAGACAGATACAGAGGAGGCAGAGGCAGGCAAAGTTCCAAGTTTGAGGCTAGCCTGATCTACAGAGCTAGTTCCAGGACAGCCAGGGCTACAAAGGGAAAGCCTGTCTCAAAATATCCCAAGAAAGCGGCTTTCTGGTTCAGAAAGCTTGTGCTTGCTTGTGTGTGCCCCTTGATAGGAAATCCCTTCTTCCACACCCGGGCCCCAAGCAAACACCGACTTGGCTCTCTCTCCCTGTAGCTTTGCCTTTTCAGGAATGTCTCGGGGACAAACCCATCATGGTGTGGCCACTGTCCAGCTGTATGTAGAAAAGCATGCCCACTATACTACCTCACAGTTGACACGGATTTCCCATGGGCTGCCACTTTGCCTCACACTACTTTTGCTCATATTACATCTTCTATACTTCCGGGCGAGGGTGCTCTGGTGCACGTGTGGCCAAGGGACTTCTAGGAAGTTGCTTCTCTACTTCCACACTGTGGGGCAGGAAGACAACCACGTGGTAGGGCTTGCCTGCTGAGCCACCTGGCCAGCCTGGTTGCAGATTTTAAAAAGGAGCTGGGCCAGGCAGTCTCCATGCCTGCTCGAGGATATTTGATCCCACCGGGAAACCCAAAATTGTGAACTGTAAGACCCTGTTTCTTGTTTGGTGCTGTTGAGTCCTAACACACACTTTTGTCCAAGAGCTTTCTGTTTATTGTAACCAGGTGATGAGGGTGTGGTCACCCAGCCCTAGCACACACCTTTAATCCAAGAACTTTTGGTTAATAAAATTAACCCTAGGTCAAGAGGCAGAGCAAGAAACCAGCTGTCAAGGATTAAAGAGTATTTGAGACAGCGTGGAGAAAAAGCAGAGCTTTTAGCTCAAACTCTGGCTTTAGCTTAGGCTTCAGCTCCTAAGCTCTCTGGCTTTTTGGGCTTCGAACTAGCAAGGCTTTGGCCTTGGGTTTTTTGGCTTTTTCCTCCTGGGCTGTCAGTTGTACTAATGAGGCTTTTGGGTTTTTTCCATCTGGACCTGAGCTGAGAAGGAAGGTCAGCTGGGTGCTTCCTCTAGCTTTCTGAGCTAGCTGGATCTTGCTCCTGAGTCCTTATTGGTAAAAATGGAATGGTTGGGATTTTCATCATTGTCTATAACCATACATGCCTTTAATTCTAGCTCTTGGAAAGCAGAGGCAGGTGAATCTCTGTGAGTTCAAGGCCAGTCTTGCCTACAGAGGTCAGGGCTACACAGAGAAACCCTATCTTGAAAAAAAAATGAAAACAAACAAAACAAAGTATTTCCGTTCCCGCCATTATGTCTGTATGTCTTTTTAAATTGTTCTCTGTGTGCATGGGCACCATGCCCACGTGTGGAAACAGCTGACTTGCACAAGTTAGTTCTCTCTTCCACAATGGGCTCTGGGAACCCAGAATTAGGCTTGTGTGGCAAACGCTTTTAGTTTTTACAGCTATGCCGTCTTAATCAGCTTGCATTTCTTTGTATGTCTTTGCTTTGTGGATGAAACAAATGTTCCCATTCATCAAGATAAGGAGATATAGAGGTATAAAAGAAAAGATGTCTAAATAGAAATGTCTAACTAGATGTCTTATGTTTTCAATCCCATTTGTAATTTCAAAAAATGGTTGAACTCCATCTAGTAAGATTGCAAATTCCCTGTTGTTGTTATTGTTATTGAAAGTTAATAGAGTGACAATGGGATGGGTCAGTGGGTACGGGTGTCTGAAATCAAGACTGAAGACTTGATTTCCATCCCTGGAGTCCACAGGAAAACCAACTCCTTCACGTTGTCCTCTGATTTCCACATACAGACCACGGCAAGCATACATACATGCATAAAGAAATGTAAAGTTTTCTTTTAAATGTTTAAAACCAACCAGGGGCTGGAGTGATGGCTCAGTGTTTAAAGCACTGGCTGCTCTTCCAGAGGACCAGGGTTCAATTCCCAGCACCCACATGGCAGCTCACAACTGTCTGTAACTCCAGTTCCAGGGGATCCGGCATCTTTATACAGCCACACATGCAAGCAAAGCACCAATGCTCATAAAAATAAATCATTAAGAAAAAGATCACTGGCAATTCTTGCTGGAATATTTTTATATCGGGACATTTTAATTACTGTGTTTTTTTAAAAAATGACCATTTTTATCAGCTTTGAGTAATTTTTAGCACTTGGATAAAAGCTCTCCTGAACATCACTTTTCAAGACATTCTCCCCTTAAAACGAGTTCTTTGAGCCAGTTACCTTCTCCGTGTTAGAGACAGCGTTGTCTGAGCCAGAGGGCAGGGAGAGCACGTCCTCGGCTTCGCTTGGGCCACTATCTTCCGTCTGTGGTCTAAATCACCTGATAATCACACCCACACAAACCGCAATAGGCAAACCACTATCAGCTTTACCAGCTGCCAGTCCTCTCCCTCGGCATCTGCCACACTGGGCTGATTTGGACTGGTTGGTGCCTTAGCTGCCATGGTTTGTTGGCTTTGGCTGAGGATGCTGCCTATTGTTCAAGAGTGATCCTTGGATTTCATGTCTGCCAGGGACCCACCACTGGGCCACAAACACAGCCCCTATGTTCTATGTATCAGCTCTGCTGAAGGGCAGGCTTTCTATTGGAGCTCTCCTATCAAACTATGTCTTTTTTTTAATATTTTTTTATTTTTAAATAATTTTATACATTCACTTGTATCCCAGCTGTAGCCCTCTCCCTCTTTCCCTCCCAATCCTCCCCTTCCTCCCTTATCTCCTCCCTGCCCCCTTCCGAGTCCACTGAGAGGGGGTGTCCTCCTCTCCTTCCATCTGGCCCTAGCTTATCAGGTATCTTCAGGATGGTCGCAATGTCCTTATCTGTGGCCTAGCAAGGCTGCTCCTCCCCCAGGGGGGAGAGGAAGCTCATGAGTTCGTGTCAGAAACAATTTCAAACTATGTCTTAAACATTAGAAAAAGAAAAACACTTTTTTTGTTTGTTTGGTTTTCAAGACAGGCTTTCTCTGTGTGGCTGTCCTGGACTCACTTTGTAAACTAGTCTGGCCTCAGAATTACAGGAAGCTGCCTGCTTCTGCCTCCCTGAATGCTGGGACTAAAGGTGTGCACCACGAAGCCTGGCTCACACCTTGATTTTTTTAAGATTAAAAAAACAAAACAAACAAAAAAGATGATCATATATAGAAATTTTCCTGTTTTCTTCCCTTATCTCCAAGGTCAGTCTTGAAAACCCTGCCACATGCTGGCCTGAGAAACTACTCAGCTAGCAAGTGCAAGACAGACCAGGAAGACAGATTTTGGTTAAGCACACAGAACCATGTTTCATGATACAGAGCTTTTGTCTGGCAAGATGTTTCAGCAGGTAAGGGCCCTTGGAACCAAGGCTGATGAGCTGAGGCTAACCACCAGGGCTACCTGATGGAAGGAGAGAACTCATTTCCATAAGTTATTTCTCCAACCTCCACACGTGCACACCCCCCCACACACACACAACAAAGAAATATAAGGGAAAATTTGAGATAATGCTTCACTACATAGCCCTGGCCACCTTGAATTTTTTATTTTGTAATTAAAACAAAAACAAAATAGAGCTTTCAAAAGTAGCCAGCATCCCCAAGAGTCTTCAGGGGCTTAAGAGATGGCTCAGCAATTAAGGGCACTTGGATCTTCCAGAGGATCTGAATTCGATTCCCAGAACCCACATCATGGGTTACAATGGTCTATAACTCCAGCCCCAGGAGACCTGACACTTCTGGTCTCCTCAGGTCCTGCACACATGTGGTACAGACAGAGAGACATACGGGCAAGACATCCACACACTGAACAATAGTAAACATCAACATCCATAAATGATTGGTCTGAATTTTGTTTTATCTTCCTTTTTATTTTTAGATGAAAATTACATTTTCTTCAGCAAATGAACTGCTTTAATAATTTTAAAAATTATTTGTGTATATCAGCATGTGTCTGTATTCAAATATAGGTATCTGAGGAGTCCAGAAGAAGACATTAGACCACTTGGAGCTATAGTTATGGAAGGCTATGAGCTGTATGAAGTGGGTTCTGGGAAGTGAACCTGCGTCCTCTTCAAAAGCAAAGCAGAAGTGTTTTGAACTGCTGAGCCATCTCACCAGCTTTTTTTTTTTTTTTTTTTAGTGGTCATGTTTTATATGCTGGGAGTCTGTTTTTTGACAGTCTGTAGAAGTCAAAGGAATGGTACCACAATCAAATGCCACACTAACGGTTCCTTCTTTACCACTTTGTGGATTATCTCTCTTAACTGATATGGATACATTCCTTCAAATGGTAGCTTTGCAATGGAGCCAGACATTTGTACATTGATCAAATTTTCTGCATGAAGCTGAGATAATTCTTTCAAATCTAATTCATTTTATACATGTCAGAGTCACTGATAAATTTATTAATTTATACTTTAATGGTTGAGGTGACACTTAAACTAATATCTAACAACTATTCACTGATTTTATACATTTTTATCCTTTTCGTTTTGTTTGAGACTGGGTCTCTCTATGTAGTTCATTTCATGACTTTACTTAATTATCAGCAGATCCACTTGCATGACTTTACTGCCAAATGTGAAGGAAATGGAAAGGCTATAAATGATTACAAAACGAACCAAGGAAGGTCACTTAATC